GGCAAATGTTGCTGTAAGTGTAATGTAAAGTATGAAAATCTAGATTAGCTTAAAATTTAATGGGGGAGGTTCTTTGCATTACAAAAGGACTCTTCAGTTCATGAAAGAACTGATAATAGGGTTTCCTATAGACAGTCAGCTTCCCAGTGTGTCTAAAATGATGTGATTCACACAAAACTGGGTTTATACAAGGTTTTAGGACCAATGTTTTAGGAACGTACAATGACAAAGCACAGGACATCTGTGATATAATCATTCAGACCGGGTCTGAATCACTGTGACAAGTTAACAATAACAATTCTGGGTATTCCCCTTTACCTTTTATAAAAGGATTAGATGAATTTTCTGTGGTTTTAAAGGGCAGAGCTGGAACCAAAGGGTAGAAGATACAATGAGGGGGAGATTTCAGTTCAATATAATGAAAAACTGCCAAATCACAGCTGTCCAAAACTGGAATGGGTTGTCTCTGAGGTGGCAAATTTCCTAACACGAGATACTAAAGTAAAAGCTAGATAGCAACTTGTCAGGACTTCTGGAATGACTATTGCATGAAATAGGGAGGTGAATTAGGACAGTGTTTCCCCACCCCCAAATACACAAAATATACTGGCAAACTAGATCATCTCTACCTTGGATACGAGGAAAGAGTTCAGGAAGGAGGTAAAGAGAGGTTGTTCAGGAAGAGGGATGGGGATAAAGGAAATGAACTGGAAAAAAATAGTGCTCCTCTGGTCAGTAAACACTAGATTAAATGACTTCCAAGATGTCTTCTAATTTAAAGATCCTAAAACTCTCAAACTGCTTCACAGGCATTATTTTAACTATATCCCTGGGAGAATTTTCTTCTTTTAGTTGAGGAAAACTAGAACATAATACCTAAAGTGAGTGGTAAAATGGGAAAAGAATTCAGACATCTTGACCCTTTTAGACTTTTGATCCCACAGCCTCTTTTCAACGGATGAGAGTGAAAGTTGAGGAAACAGAAAATGGAAGTGGCCATAAAGCTAAAATAGATGAAATCAAGGCAACTTCAGAGATCTGTGAAAACCAGCTCACTAAGGGTCCATAATACTAGCTTCAGAGACTTTGTACACAAGCATTCCTATAAAGCACTTGAGTTCTAATTGAGTACTGTAGTCATACAAAGGCTGGACCCTTGAAGACTGAACACGTGCATCCAATGTCCTCTTGAATGGGGCTCCTAGGGGAAGAATCTTTGTCCTGGTTAGCCTAATTATGTTTCAAATAAAGTTGATCATCTGGCCTTTGGACCAATAGGTTTACTTGGCTATTTGTGACCAGATTACGCTGCTGTTCCCACCCAAGGCTTCTATGCCACAAAGAACACTACACTTTCAGTGGACATCAGCTGGCAGGACAAATTCAAGCCTGCCTAGCGTGAAAGTAAAAAGCCAGTTACTGAGAGTAGCACTGGCTTCGTGATGTAGATTTTACTGGTGATCAGGAAGAGGAGAAACTGAACGGTAACAGCAAAAGAATGAAATTGCTGGGCTAACCCCAGAACCTGCTACTGGAGGATGAGAAATCAGAGACTCTATGCAAAGGGTGACTGTCAGCTGGAAAAAACAGGAAGCTACCTAGTATCACAGTCATTCTAAGGAGAGAAAGAAAACATAGGAAATGGAGGTCAAAGAGAAAATACTTTAGTTATACAAACCTTGGTATTATCTTGGGGGGAGAATCTTTCCTTTGCCCATAAGTCTTAGAATGAAGAAGAACAAATACTGTTAACAACTGGCAGAAAAGTCAGCACCACTGAGGCCTTTAGTGCCACCCTAACCTGACATTCCTCTTCAAGAACATCCCCATCTGACCTCTGATAGGAAAGCAGAGGGAGGTGAGTGGTGTAGCTGCCCCAGATTCTGTGCTCCAGGTAGAGAAGGCCTCAAGAAGGTGAAGGGATGAGCTAATCTGAGCTTTCTGGCCCCATTTCCAAGGATGTGATTAGTGGAGAGGCACCTGGGACTTGCTCCATTTCAGGAAACCCGGTTATGGGAACTGGTGGGGGACAGACTTGGCTCAGGACCCGAGAGAAGCAGTTAACCCGAGAGAAGCAGTTAACCCTTTCCTATTGTTTGTATGGGAAATAGCCTCTTTATAAATTTCCCATTGGGAAAGAAACCCCTCAAATGGACTTAATTTTGCACCAAACCTGGTAAGGGGGACCGCAAGGATAATTTCCACCTAAGTTCCTGGGGTTAATTTCTTAGGGCTTTTGAATGCTCTAGGGCAGCCTGGGAACAAGGTAGGATCTAAGACGTGTCTAGGAATGATACATGATACACACAGAGAGGGCATATTCAAAAGGAAAGACGGCTAACAGTTCCTAAAATGTCCTGTTCACCTGGCAGCATTCCCTGGGATATACTGGTTCCAAACTTGGGTCTGGGTCAGAACCAATGTGAAGCTCTTCAGATGGGGTCTCTTTGGCCAGATAGGGGCTTTCTTCTAAGAATAAACAGGATGTCCAAAATGTACATGCAACAGTGGTCTAAAATCCTGAGATGGGTGGAAGAATGCCTGCAGAATCAATAAGCTGCTATACCCAAAGACTGGGGAGAACTGGGCCTCTGAAGACACTGCCAATAAGACCCTGAAGACCAGGGCTGAAAAGGTCCAGAGCCGCATTCAAAAGCTCTTTGGTTGACCTGGTTGACCTTAACCCTGGGCAGCTCATTTATTTGGGCCTCAACTTTCTTCATCTATTGAAGATAATTGATACCTTCTACAGCCACCTTTTGGTTCTAACATTCTATTGCTCTGAGGATGGAGTCCAAGTAAAGTTTATTTTAATAACATGGAATTCAGTTGTGTATCAGTTATTAGAACCCAAACAGGATGGGACACCCATTGATGGATGAGAGAAGGCTGGGAGCTGGGGCTCATTCTAGCCCTATTGTGTGGAAGATGGGGGTGGCTGAATTCATTGGCTCCTTAGCTTTTTGCATGGAGGGGTTGGCTTCTCATGGTGTTGTTAATGTTCTCATACTATAGACCTCTGAGACAAGCAGTTAGGAAGGTCACATCCAGGTGGGAGATGCACTAGGTAGCTGTAGGGAAGTGGAAAAGCAGTTAAGAAATTTTTGTTTCAGATTCCGGCTCTGCCATTTACAAACTCAGTGTCATACAACCTCTTCTTGGAACTTCATCATTTATTAAATGATAATAACAATACCTCCCATACAAGGTTGGGAAGATTACTTAAGATAAATAAGAAAAAGTGAAGACCACTTAGCATAGAGCAGTTGTCAAGCCTGCATCAAACCTTGCCTGACTCTAAGGGTTTATGCTGTGCAAGTCCTGATGGCAGGTCCTTGTAGCAAAGGCTCCCTTTGTCATTCCGTCACTCCTGCCTGCATCTGCTAGGGAGGGCGGTTGTGTCCCTGGCTACCTGTTAGGCCTGCCCTACCTCTAGGCTGGTGCTGGGTATTCCACTGCATGTTCTTCTCTGAGGCTCATTCCAAGGACAAGGGCTGAAAGTCTGGATGACCAACTCTCTGAAGTCCACTGGTAACTGTTCCTCACCCATGCCATTCTCAAGGTGGGGCATTTTCTGCTGAGCCAGCACTCCACAGGAAATATTTTAAAGGACTGTCCTCAGCACGTTGGTTTCTCACCCATCAAATAGTGAAGATAAACATTACCTCACAAGATACTTGTGAGAATGAAAAAATTGTGTCAAGAGCCAAATGGTATGGGACAGCAAGCAAGCATTCAATAAATGTTAGCTTTCTTCACCTTGGCAACTCCCCTTCCTAATGGGGACACCCAAGAGAGAAGAGAATGAAAGGGAGAGAGGGCCTCCAATGGTTCCCCAAACGCCAGCTTAGATGGTTTATGATGTATTTTCCAGAAATAAAAGCCACCTTTCTCCAGTAGGTCTACCTGTGAGCAACGGATATGGGGAGGGTGGCCAATGGCGCCAAGCACAGACTCCTGAACGCTATGATTGAGGTCACAGTAGAGTAGCAGCAAGGCTGGGTACTGGACAGGCGCTCTGCCAGCTACCCTGCCTGTCCTGTCCCATCCTGGCTTCTAGAGGCTGGGGTGGGAGAATTTTCCCCGAAGGAAAGCAGCCAACACCCTTCTCCTCGGACAACCCTTTGCCAGGCAGGAATCTCTCACCAGTTTTCCTTTGGCTGCCCGAGGAACCAGCTGCCAGATTATCAGCTTGGGGTCAAGCCCCTCTCACCACGCCTCCCCTGAACCAACCAGGGGTCCTACCAGCTGGAGTCCGGAGGACCACCTTCCTTCCCGCTGGGAATCCTCTGTGCAACTCCAGAGCTTCTGTCGGCGGGAGCCCAGGAAAGCCTGTTCCTACCACGGGCACATTCAGTGCGGAGTCAAAGTGAGGAGGGGCCTCTTGGGGTCCTCCATCAAGTCCGGCCTGGATCATGCTTGGGACACGCTGCCAGATAAAATCCAGTTTTGAATTTCAGATGAACGAATAATTTTCTTAGTATGCGTATGTCCCAAATATTGCATGGGATATATGTATGTCTAAAACAAATTATCTTTTTAATCTTAAATTCAAATTTAACTGGCCCTGCCGTATTTTTATGTTCTTAATCCGGGAGCCGGAGGTTGGCCTGGGGCACTTGGGGCAGCCCCCTCAGCAGGTGAGGCTGCTTGGGGGTTGGTTAGCCAGCCAGTTTGGGAGATCCCGAACCGGCACCGGCCTTTTCTCTCGCCTCAAGGAACGTGACGCGGACAGCAAAGGGCTGAGGGCTGCACCTCGGCGGGACCGTGGGAAGGTCACTTTCGGGAGGAAGGAGTCGTCGTGGCCTGGCCTCATTCCCGCTCGCTTACACCTCAGGTCGCCGTCCGCCCCCACGTCAGCCCGCGGGCCGCGACGGCTCCAGGAACCTTTCCGCCGCTCCCGGCAGCCCTCGGCGGCCCACAGCCTGGGGGCGGGGCGGCCGAGTGCGCAGGCGCGACGGACCGGTGGGCGGGGCGCGCGCACGGGCGGGAAAGGACGACGCGCGGCCGGGCGTGGGCGCCTGGAGAGGTCGAAGGCCCTTTGCCCGCTGCGCCCCGGCGTCGCTGCTGCAGTCTGCGCGGAATGGAGGGCACGGCCACGGCCGTCTGCGAGGTGATGCCGGGAGGGGAGAGAAACAGAAAAGGACACTGTGAGGAGACGGGCTTTGTGAGGGAGGAGGCCGCAGATTTGGGGCAGAGGGGTCTCGCGTTGCCTGAGGTGGAGCAGGAGGGTCGGGAATGATTGGCTCGGCGCACGTCAGCCTGCCGCACACGGGTGTGGGGCGCAGATGAGACCTGGGCACGGGAGCGCCTGGCAAGTAAGGTCCGGGGGCACCCAGTGAGAAATGGTTGCTCGGTGGGGAACCGCCACAGCCTGCGCGCCAGGCCGTCCTGCCCACCGGGAGGGGCCGGCACCGCCCCACCTTAGCCGCTGGGAGAAGAGGCTTCGCAAGCCGAGGAGAGCCACACAGCAGCCGACACCCGGGGTAGAACCGGGATGCCAGCCTAGGAAGACCCGCCCCGTGCTGGGAGGACACGCAGAAGGAAGGCAATGAGTCCGGGGAGCGGGGGTCAGCGGGACGAGCCCTGACAGAACGGGAGCGTGGGGAAATTTTTTTACACCGTTGGGTCAACCGGGGTGTGCGGCGGATCCGTGGGTCGGGGCCTAGGGAGGCCTCTCCCAGCCCTGGTAACACCACGGACCAGAGATCCTTTCTGCTCTGGGGGTGGAACCGAACACCTGGCACTGACTTGCCACGTTTGTTCAGCCCTTACACACTTGCACAGCCATTACTTGATGGAATTCTAACCTACTAGCCCTGTGATACTTAGGAGAGAACCACAGGCCACATGGGCTCTCCCAGTCCGCCCGCCTTCTTTATACCATCAGAGAAAGTTGGAGGGTTTTACAGACGCCAGAACCTAGGACGGAACCCAAAGCTTCTGGCTCACAGGCCAGCGTTTTCCCTGTTGCTCCCTCATTATGGATAAAGAAACTGCTGGAAAATCTTAACAGGGAGCACAGTTAAGTAAGAAGATGTGTGAAGGAAAAGTGTCAGACTGTAGAAATGCTTAGAAACCATCCTTATAAACTGGTATAAATTAGGATCTTAGCTCCCAAGTTCTATTCCTGAGATCTCCCTGCCTTTAAGAAAAGGGTAATAATTTTCTCTGTGGTACCTTAGTGTGGCAGTGAGCATCTACTTTCATAAATAGTAATAGGGATTAAATACAATTACTTTATAAGTTTGTCTCGTCAAGATTGAATCTTTTATCCAAACATCTTGGAGACCTTCTTTCAGCATTAAATATTATGTGCAATCTTTACTGCAGATACCTTATCAGAAATAACGGCCTGTATTTATTAAGGATCTACTATATGCTAGGCACTGTGTTAAGCATTTTGCACATATTATGTTCAACAGCAGCCATATGTGGTAGATTTGTCCTCACTCATATAAATGAAGAGCTGAGATACAAAGAAGTTAAGTAACTTGCCCAAGGTCACATGCTAGAATTTGGCACATCAGGGATTCATACCCAGGCATCTGCCTCCAGAGCCAGTATTTGGACCCTCAGAAATGTTGATTTAATGAAAGAAAGGTAAAGATGATTCATAACCAGATGACATTCTTATTCATAATCTTCATGCTGGCTTTTATTCAGAGAGAAAAAAAAGAAACAGGAAAAGCAAACTCCCACTTAATTTTTCCAAATTACTATTTCCAGATGAACTTACCCTTTGAATATAGCAGTTTTTTGTCCCCATTTCCTGTCTCATTGGGCATTGTGTTGAATTTCACTGGTCTCCTTTCTTCTGTCACTCCCCTAGCTATTTCTTCTGGTTAGACACAATGCTTTGTTCTGAACAAATGCAAGTCTCACATTTTGCAAGCAAGTGTATTATTTTTTGGAAATTGGAATTATTAATTTGATTATATCACACAAATTTATTACTCTGATTTCTAAAGAAGATAATGTTTTGTTTGAATTTTTCCCTTTTCAGATTTTGAAATATTTAATAATTTCCTGGAAGTGTGAAACAGCAGGAGTAACAACTGGAGCACTGCTAGAAGGACAGCTAGTGATTTCTATAGAAGCATTAAATTCTAAGCATCAGGCAAATACTCTTCATTGTTTAACAACCAGTAAGTAGAGGAGGAAAAAATACTGATTTTGTTTTTTCATGATTTGTTTTATGAATGCCAGTTTATTAAACAATTTCAGTTACTCATAATCTTATCATGTTATTACTCCAGGGTTCTGTAGTCAGAATAACTTAAACGATTATGTAATAAGTATCTGGTGATAGGTTTACAAATGTGCCATACAGGAAAGGTGAGTAGAATGACTCCCATCACAGGATTATTTATTTTATTTGTTTGAGATTGCTCAGAAACAATCTCACTCTTGCTGTTGGTTTAACCTCCTCTTTCACAGCAAAATTTTTACACTGAATTTTCTTCTTTTTATTTTATGCCCAGCCTTTGGTAGTTGCAAAAGAGCCAAAAAGTAAAGGAAAAGGGAAAGAAATAAAAAGATGGATAGTGTATATTTTGATAGTCCTAACTTGCAGTTAGTTTGACAATATCTCTCTTCCATTGGCTCTTATTCTTTCATCATTTTTGCCTCTACTCTTGAGGGAAAGGTGATGAATTGAGTGGCTCTGAAACAACTAATTCTCTTGAACTTGTGAAGTGATAACTTTTTTGTTTGTATGGTTTTTTTGTGTGTATATATGTGTGTGCAGGTTTATTGACAGATGCTTTGGTGAAGTTGTCCCATGAGCCTTAGAGGAGTCACCTTGAGTCCCAGTTGAGACTGAATAGTACTCTAAGCTCTACAAGACATTTTCTCAACCTGAACTAGAATGACCTGTTTTCTCTTTGTGTAACTAGCAATTACTGCATGAACTAACTCCCCTCTGACTATACAGAGTTCTCACCGTTCATGAGAGAAATGGTTGGCTACATGGCTGGGGTGATGTTGGTCTGTATATGGTTGTATTAGCTTGTGCATGGATTCTAATCTGATAAACTGGTCAAGGTGCAGGGTTGATTTCACTCAAACAAAGGACTTGAGCCATAGTAGCTTTTGGTTTCTGCTACAGTTTGCTGTCTTCCTTGAATCCTATTCTATCAGAAATAGTAATATCCAAAGAGGCAGTCCTGGTGTTGAGTATAGATTAAAAGACTTGCCATTGGTTCTCTCCAAGAAGTTACTCTGCCCAAACAGTTGTAGTCTAATCATGAGTCTTTTGTGCTTCCATTTTTAAATGAACTCACTAATAGTGGTCACCATTTTTATGTTCTGTATCTATAAGCAGTGTTTTTAGGCTGCCATTTGATTCTTTAGGTAAAATCCATTTAATTGTTTTATTTGTGATATTTCTTTGTATTCTGTTTCTTACAGTTGCTTCTGCAGGAAGCACTTATGGTGGTTTGGTCCTCAAGAAGTTCCTCAAAGGTAGAGAATTTCCCAGCTTCCGCAAGACTAAATTTCTTCCTGGAGATGAATTTGGTGTTTTCTGAAACAGGCTTATGCTGAAAGATAGGGTTGCCAAATTTAGCAAATAAAAATACAGGACACCCACTTGAATTTGAATTTCAGATAAACAATGGATAATTTTTTCTATAAGTATGTTCCATGCAGTATTTTATCCTGTGATTTATCTGGCAATCCTACTGAAATATGATATATGAAATTCTGTAGCTACAGGAACAGATAAGATACCTAGGTCACTATCATTTCTCTGAATACTTTCTATATAGTATCAGGCAAAATTCTCCCAGATGTAAAATAAACAACTAAAAAGCTACATTAGTAAGGTATAATGTTAGAAAGTAATGACTCTGAAGTCATAAACATATAGGGAACAATTCGACCTTTTGAAACTTGTTTTCTGAATTTTTAATCTGAGCATGGAGATATAAAAATGCCGCTTGCCCAGTCAGGGGTCTTCAGGTACATTCTCTTTGCCTTTGAAATTGTCTTAGCCCTCTGAGCCTACCTCCCAGCTGTCCGTATCTTGGATTTTTAATAGACTTCAGCTTTTTGCCCTGTGATCCTAATGCTGTTGCTCCAGTTAATGTGTGTGAAAGTACTTTGAAAGAAGTGAAAATCTGGGATTATGTTGTTAGCACTAGGGAGGAAATAGAAGGATTTCCTGCAACATAGATCTGTACTTGACAGGCCTGTACAATGAGTGGTAAGATTATACTTAATGCTCCTTCTTCAATTAATATTTATGAAAGTTCTTTGAAAAAAATGAAAACCCATGTAAGTACAAGGGAATGATTTTATTGTCCTTGTTAGAAGTATTAGAGAAGTTACGAGTTGAGTAGTGTATGGAATAACTACCTAATTTATTATGTCAATACAAACTTTAGACAGTTTGTGTCATGGTGATTTAATTTAAATTTAATTGTTATTTTTAATGTTTGAAGCAATTTCATGCATACTTAATTGATTTTTATATCCTTTTATGATAAAGTGGAGGTGGCTAACTTTTTGTACAAAGAGGAAATGCTGCACATCAAGTACACAATAAAAATTGAATCCTTTTTGCTCATAGTCAATCACATTTAGTAGCCAACTTTAGCCTGTTTTCTCTCCTGCTCTTAGTGCTCATAATACTAACCCCTACTCAATAATATTGCTATTTATTCTTACTAATTAGTAACAAAAATGACTTAGTGACACTCACAAAGGAAATTGTCCAAGACTAAGATTTGAATCCCTTAGCTCCCTGACATATTAACTATTTATTATGCCTTTATTACTATTGTTATTTATTTAGCATTCTTGTAACATTAGCAAACTGCTTTAAATTGGTCCATTCACAAATCTTTACACTGTTTAGTTTCATAAGGCAGTCTCTCATGGCTTGTTCATTAACCATCAGATTTCCAGATAGATGCTAAAGGAATATGTCGCTATACAAAATTAATGGTATAGCTCTGAATTCAATTTGTTAACTATATTGTCCTCTTCATTGCTTGGTTGATTTCTCTCAGTGCCTAAAATAAGATGTGATCTCCATTTAGGGAAACTATATCATAGAGCCATCCAGGTTCAGTTTTCCTTACTCTTGCATCTGTTTTTATCAGAGTTGTATCAAGGCACTTTTTCTCTGGATCTGGAATACTTCAGATCAATTCCTGTACAAACAGGCTCGTATTTCTAGGTGTTCTATTTATTCTGGATTAATAAACAGTGACCAAATATTCTCCCTATTTTCCCACCTCTCTAATGGTTTATGTTCTCTTTTTTGTTTTCTTTCTACTCTGTTGCCTAACTATTCATACTTTTATCCAGTAAACCTTTATTGAACATCTACCTTGCCACAGGGAAGTCACAGGGAGAGGTAACTATGAAAATAAAATACAGTGTGATAAGTACTATACGGGAGTATGTATGTTCAAGGTGCTTCTTCGGTAACCCAGAGCACTATTCTTAGAGTTCAGTCACCAGTGTGCCTTTCTTTCCATTATTATTCTGCTTTATTATTCTTTATTTATTTCAGATAGCTTATCTATTTCTGAGGCCTTAAATATTGTTGGTATGCTGATGAGACTTATTTTTTTCTCTCTTCATCACTAACATGTTTCCAGCTTTGATTATCGATAAGATTAGTCAGTTTGAGGGTTCCTCTGAAATATCATATGCAGTGTGTCTAAACTGGGGTTCATTTTCTTGAAACTAATTTGCTGTGTAACATCTCCATTCTTTTCAATGATACTAACATCCTCATGGTTTTCCAGGCTTTACATTTTGGCCTTTTTTTGGCATTTCCTTTTTCTTTTCTCCATATCTTGTTGAACTGGATTTTTTGTTTTGGTTAACTCTGCTTGTATAGTATGTAGTATGTAATTATTACAGCTTAGAGAATATAGCTAATAATATTTTAATTTCTTTGTATGTTGCTGATTGCTTGGTAGAATAAAACACCTCAGACCAGATTTGAGGTCTTCTGTTAATTAGAATAATCTATACTTTGAAGGATGGTGTCCATTAAGATTGATAAATTCTTGTATTTTTAAAAATTCTCATTACTTCATATTAACATGTAATACTATTCTGCATCATATAATTATCCATTTATGTAGAAATCCATTTGTATATCCATTTATGTATACACTTAACTATTTATGTTGAACTACTTCTATCATAAATATCTATTTGATGAAACATTATGCTTTTAGTTTGTCTTCCTTGTCCAGGTCTAGAAGCTTCTTCCTATCATGTCCTTTCTCTGGTGGAGAAAAGAAAAAAGATAGGGTAGAAGGCAGTGATGAGATGGGAGAATTTGAAAAACACCATGTTTATTGGTCTTTATTTTGCTGTCTTTTACTTACCTCTTCTATTTATATTACTTCGGTTTATTTTTTTATCTTTTTAAATATCTCCTCATTTCCAAGTTTATTGTCATAATTTAACTCTTTAATAAAATACAGTTTGGCCAGTCACTTAAGAAAATGTTCAAGTGTTTTCCTCAAGTCAGATTTATAGCCTTTTTTTCTTCAAAAGACTAGATAAAAATACTAGCCATTGAAATTAGGGATGACAGCTTTGCTGTTGTATGGTTATGTGGTTATTTTTTTATTTTGGTATCATTAATCTATAATTACATGAGGAACATTATGTTTACTAGACTCCCCCCATCACCAAGTCACCCCCAAAAACCCCATTACAGTCAATGTCCATCAGCATAGTAAGATGCTGTAGAAAGAATCACTACTTGTCTTCTCTGTGTTGCACAGCCCTCCCCGTGCCCCTTCCTCACATTATACATGCTAATCGTAAGGCCCCCTTTCTCCCCCCACCCCCCTTATCCCTCCCTTCCCTCCCATCCTCCCCAGTCCCTTTCCCTTTCGTAACTGTTAGTCCATTCTTGGGTTCTGTGTTTCTGCTGCTGTTTTGTTCCTTCAGTTTTTTCTTTGTTCTTATACTCCACAGATGAGTGAAATCATTTGATACTTGTCTTTCTCCACCTAGCTTATTTCACTGAGCATAATACCCTCTAGCTCCATCCATGTTGTTGCAAATGGTAGGATTTGTTTTCTTCTTATGGCTGAATAATCCACTGTGTATATGTACCACATCTTCTTTATCCATTCATCTACTGATGGACACTTAGGTAGCTTCC